AATTAAGTGTTAACGAGCAGTTGGACAGGTGTACCTAATAAAGTGGCCGGTGAGTGTAGTCAGACATTTTTTTTTAAATTCTTATTATATGGTCCTAAAGGTGTTTTAAAGCTAACCATGATGGATTTGAGAGAAAGATTATAGAAAGAAGCTGGATTATTTAGGTAGAAAACAGGCTAGTATGAGCTAACACTTTTTTACTTTTTGTATTAATATTTTTGTATTAGCATTGATCACATATTTGCATAACATTTATTAGTGTTGTGAGTATAAAAACAACAAAAAAAACCTGTTATGTTTGGTCACATTTTCAAAGAGCCACCGCAGAGGGACCATATGTGGCCCCAGAGCCGCAGGTTGCAGACCCCTGTATTAGGTAGTCAGAATATTATTGTCATCTTTACCCAAAAGGTAATAAATTCTTGACCCGCAAGGCTTCATGGGTCATTTTGACCTGATGGCAGCAGGAGGGTTAAAACAAGCCAAACTTAATGAATAAATCTATGGATGAAGCACAAACTATAAGCAGCAACAAGATGTGACGCAGGAGGAAACATCATCCACTAATGCAGATCTCAGGTTTTGGTAAGAAAAAAAAAAAGACACAAACCCAGAAACAAAAAGTTTTGTTTTCACGTATGACACATCAGATTTAAGCGAGGTCAAACTTACAACTTACTGATTTATCACTTCTTACTGAATTAATGCAAAAATCAAGTGAATCTAAAAACTTATTCTTAACGTTAAATGACAGACTTAGACTCTGATTTTGGGGGTTGTTTGAGTCAGGGTCAGATCTTCTCTTCTCGGCTCAGAGAATGTGGGTCTTACTTGGCCATGGTGAGCGCCAGGTTGTAATTGGCCATCTTGATTTTGTTCTGGGCCTCCAGGTGGGTCATCCCCTCAGTGCTGACACCATCGATGGCAACGATGACATCACCTTGGATCAGGTTACCCTGTGCCGCCTTGCTGCCTGGTGTGATCTGTCCAACACAAAGACAATCAGACGTGTGATAAATGTATCTGGTGACACAGACCTGAGGTCAGCGTCACTCTGCATTTCTGATTATCACAAAAAGCCAGCTGGAGAAACAACTGAGCTAATTCTTTTCCAGGAAACAATCAGTGAAATGGGAAGAGAATTAATCAATAAGTTAATGATTTCTGTGCACTTAGGATTCTGTAATCCCAAATCGGGAGCAGAGAGCACAACAAGGACACAAAGTCAGAGCAGGAAAACAGGATAAACTGTGAAACAGCAGAAAGGAGCATCTCTGGAGGATGTTTGTGATGAAAAACTGTTTTTACCAGAAGAGGGGGAAAAAATGATCAGCAGTCAAACATTTGGAGAAAATGTTTGATGGAGCTGCACATTCAACACAAAATCAAACAAAACTTGAATTTGTGTGGAGTTTAATTGATCAGAAATATTTAAATCCCACAAATATCTAACATCTATAACTGATTTATGTGGATGAAATGCATTTTGTAATAAAATGTCTACTGATTTGTGACCCTGAAAGGAAAAAGCAGGTTAAGAGAAAAGATTATTGGATGGACGTCTACTGGTTTAATAGATGAAAAGAGCAGAATAAAGACGACTAATTCTCAGAATTTCACCACTCTGTGGTGATTTGACAGTTAGACCCTCCTCACATTAGGTTTACAGTACTTCAGAACAGAGGTTCCCAAACTTTTTGTCTTCTGACCCACAAAATATCCATGGCAAAATCTTGTGACCCCAAATATTACTGGTCTGAGTACACAAACTTTGTTAAAAACCCTAAAAACACAGGCTTTTTGACAATCTAAACAGCTTGTACACAAATATAAATACTTATTTATACTTATTTTGTGTTTTTGTAATAATTATAGGGAAAAATATTACATCATCAATTATTTTATTACCCTTTAAATTGATTTCTGGAGATTATCCAAGGTGCTTGATGACCCAGAATTGGGTCCCAAACCCAACTTTGGGAACCAAAGTGCAGTGGTTCCCAAACTTTTCAGCTTTTGACCCACAAAATAACAGTAACAGAGACATGTACTGTACCCAACTATTTCTGGATGATAAACATTTGTATCAGGTCAACTAAACATGGGCATAGTAACAATATTTTTATATTACATTTATCCATTTTAAATATACTAACCTCACTCCTTTGTAACAATTAAGTAATGCATATATAC